TCTATCTATCTATCTATCTATCTATCTATCTATCTATCTATCTATCTATCTATCTATCTCTTCATCTGTTTATCCGTCCATCCATCCATCCATCCATCCATCCATGCATCCATCCATCCATCCATCCATCCATCCGTCCATCCATCCATCCATCCATCCATCCATCCAGTCTTAATTAGTTTTTATTAATTCAGATTAAATATTTTCCTTTAAATAATCGTTTCTCTTTAGAATTTGCAGAACATCGTGATGCGTTTGATTGACGAGCACAAGAAGAGCCAGGTCCCCGAGGAGCCCAGAGATTTTGTTGACTGTTACCTGCAGGAGCTGGATAAGGTGTGTTCAACCAAAACCAGCAGAAACAAAGAACCTGCTCATGGCAGCTTTTCAGTTTTTACAGTGAGGTTGTCCTGAACTTTGACCTGACCTGAGGTTTTGTGTTGGTTTTAGAGAGGAGATGATGGTTCTTCTTTTTCTGAGGAAAAGCTTTCCAGCTACATTCTGGACCTTCACTTTGCTGGGACTGACACCACCTCCAACACCCTGCTGACTGGTTTTCTCTACCTGATCACCCACCCACATGTACAAGGTATCCAGACTACACAAACACAACTGGTAGTAGTTGAGAGTCATCCCCAACACTGAACTCTAACTGGGTGTGGGAGGGCTTTTATTAAGTCAGCTTTATTTAGTTTTTCAGAGATTTTTGGTCAGCTGTAACACAGAAACAGCTGCAACTAACAGCATGAAATTAGTCCAGACTGTAGATGGGTCTGACCTACACTGCACCAGACAACAGTTTTACAACAAACCCCATATTTGAGGAGGGGGCTCCAGCTTAAAAGGGGGTGTCTGCAAAAATGCTTATAACTCCGGACCCCCACCCAAAACAAATCTGTTTTGGTGCATTGGTGCTCTGTGTAAATGCAGGGGTTGTATATGCTACAACAATGAGGTATCTAGTTATTATAGCACATTTAAAAACCCCGCTGTGCTTCATTTGTTCCAACTAAAACTAATAGAAAATGATTTTATCCCCATCCTCCAGCTCAGATATGATAAAAACAAATTGTAGAAGTAGAAAATTCAACTCTCATGTTGAATTAGCCTGGTAAAAACCAGACCCTTGTCCTTCATTTTGCTTCATATGAGGGTCTGGACTCTCAGCTATAGAGAAGTGATTCTCGCTGGAGGCGTGGCCTCTGCTGAAGTTTAAAATGATTGGATCGGTTAGCCGCAAGTGCCAGCTGTGCCACTGTGAAGGAGGCTAAGCTAAGAAGCTAACCGGAAATTGCGTGCGCTGTAAACAACCCTACTGAGAGGAGAAAAGTACCGAGCTGAACGAGACGACTGTAAATGAGAGCTGCTGCTTTGTCAGACAAATTTAATTTAATTTGGAAGCCTTATCAATACAGACTGGCTTCATTCACTTCCTCCACTGCCGTATGCTAAACTAACAAGCAGACACTGCACAGAAAATCGATGTTCTGTTCTCTGATTGGCCCAGATGAAATGCTCCTGAAGAAATCCTTGCCAATGGGAGAAATGCCAGACGGAGCAGTGAAGGAAACTAGAATTGAACGGAATTGTGTAGGAAGGCAAGGGCCAGGCTAGTGATGAATTAAAGGCTTTTAAAAACACCAAGAGGTGAAAACTCTCTGAGAGACAGCTGGGTCCACAGATTAAGGCCACAACTAAAGAGCCGATCACCTCTGTGGACCAGTCTGGACCTGAAGACAACTAAACACCTGATTACCTCTGTGGACCAGTTTGGACCTCAGGACAACTAAAGACCCGATCACCTCTGTGGACCAGTCTGGACCTGAAGACAACCAAAGACCTGATCACATCTGTGGACCAGTCTGGACCTCAGGACAAATTATTTTATTTGATCTGACCCAACATTATTTCTAGCGTTTTGTCTTTTGTCCAAGTCTTCTTTGGTTCATACTGGTGCATCATTGGACATCTGACCTCATGACGTCACGAGACATTAAAGAGAGTTTAATTAGGAGGAGGTTCTGCTGAGGAGACCCCTGACCAGATGTTGGGTCCAGCTGTTGTTTTGTTGGTGTTTTTGTGTCTGAGCTGTGAAGTAAAGTCCTCCTCTGCTGATCCTTCAGAGCAGTGCCAGCAGGAGATTGACCAGGTCCTGCAGGGGAAGGACCGGGTCAGCTATGAAGACAGGAACGACATGCCGTATGTGCAGGTGATGGCCCTTTTTATTGGGTTTCCTTTAAGTTCAGGGTTGGGTCACAAGTAAATCATAATGTGTTCTGGTCCAGGCCGTGGCCCACGAAGTCCAGAGGGTTGCCAACACGGCTCCACTGAGCGTCTTCCACTCCACCACTAAAGACACGGAGCTGATGGGATACGACATTCCCAAGGTGAGAGACTTCCTGTTGGACAGAGAAACTAAAGTAAAGAGCATCTGTTAAGACGTCTGGTTTCCTTTCAGGGTACCATGGTCATCCAGAACCTGACCTCAGTGCTGAGGGAGGAGGGTCAGTGGAAGTTCCCTCACGAGTTCAATCCTGAGAACTTCCTGGACGAGCAGGGAGAGTTTGTCAAACCAGAGGCCTTCATGCCTTTCTCTGCAGGTAAACTCACATCAAACAAAGAGACTAAATGAAACCAAACAGCTAGAAATGACCTTTTCTGGTGTCTCAGGTCCTCGGATGTGTCTGGGAGAGGGTCTGGCTCGTATGGAGCTGTTCCTCATGACGGTGACCCTGCTGAGGAAGTTTAAGTTCATCTGGCCCGAGGATGCTGGAGAACCAGACTTCACTCCGGTTTTTGGAGCAATTTTGAGTCCGAAACCTTACAGGATGAAGGTCATGTTGAGATCCGAATGTTGAGAACATGAGCAGATGTTCTGCAGACTGAGCATGATAAGATCCTGTGAGTCGTTTCCATTGACCATGAAAATGCGCAAATTAGAATTTTGAAAATAAATTTGCTCAATGGAAACACGTCAATTTTGAAGAAAATTACGTTTTTCGACAAAATGTTTTTGCGCTAGGATGAGATGGTATTTCGGCCGTATCGAAATTGGTGTTTTTCGCAAAACTGCAATAGAAACACTTTTTTCACATCACAGGAGTCACGTGATCAACAACCGTCTGTTTCTACTGGTGAAAGAGACGATGATGAAGAAGATAACAGGAAGTAGAAGTAGTAGTAATATCACAGAAGTAGTATAAAATAGTAAACTCAGCGACTACAATTTCCCAAAAACACAGCATACGTAGCCGCTCCCAAGTAGGGACTTGTCTCTGGAAAGCCTCGATAAAAGACGCCGACGTCTCCTCTGATGATGAGCGCTAGTGTCGTGGTAGCAACATGCTATGTGTTTACATCCATCGCTGCCATGTTTGTAATGACTTATCATGAGAACAAACATATTCACGTGACTTTAATAACATTTATTACTTAATGGAAACACTGCAGTTGTGAAACTGTGTTTTTCGACCTTAACAGAATATCGACAAAGTTTTGCGCACATTTGCAATGGAAATGCAGCTAATGTTAGGAGAAATACACAAATTTAAAGGATTAGAGTCCCATCAGTGCAGATCCATGTTCTGTAACTAAATAAAGTTATTCTTTAAATAACAATCGCACTAATTCTTTTTTTATTTAAAAGAAAATAATATACTGTACTTGTCTTGCACCTGAGCTGTTAGCCTGAAGTAACAATTTAGTTGCAAATCACAGTAATAATGTTTTAAAATAAGCTGCTTTAAAGCCAGTGGTTACTATAAACTATGGGAATTCCCTGTCAGAAATTGGGAGAGCTCAGAATTAATCATACATGAAGGCGTTGCACCGGTCTGTAGTGGTGAAGAAAACTGAGCCAGAAGGTCGGTCTACCTTCCTACCCTCATCTATGGTCAGGAGCTTTGGGTAGTGACTGAAAGAAGGAGATCACAGATCCAAGCAGCTGAAATGAGTTTCCTCTGCAGGGTGTCTGGGTTCTCCCTTAGAGATAGGCTGAGAAGCTCAGTCATCCAGGAGGGACTCAGAGTAGAGCCGCTGCTCCTCCACGTCCAGAGGAGCCAGTTGAGGTGGTTCATCTGGTTAGGACGCCTCCTGGACTCCTCCCTGGTGAGGTGTTCTGGACACGTCCCACTGGGAGGAGACCCAGAGGAAGATCCAGGACACACTGGAGGGACTATGTTTCTCAGCTGGACTGGGAACACCTTGAGATTCCCCCAGAGGAGCTGGACCAAGTGTCTGGAGAGAGGGAAGTCTGGGTCTCTGCTGAGACTGCCGCCCCCGAGACCTGACCCTGGATCAGAGGAAGAAAACAGACGGACGAATGTAGTATTCAGTTTTTTTAAGAGAACTTGTTGTTTCTATGCAGGAAACACCAGGTYGAGCTCAGTGTTTGTTAGAGGAGCTCAGCCGAAGCAATGAGACGATGAACGTGACATTTTGTCTTTAGTGAAAGTTAAACATGAAACGTCAAAGTTATCTATAACTGGCCCTGTGAGGGCCACCATAACGCTCATGTGGCCCTCAGTGAAAATGAGTTTGGCCCCCCTGATCTAAAGTTTAGTTTGTTTTAGTTTTTAACCAAAAATGGACAAAACAGTTTTAGTTCCAGGTTCAAATTTATTGATTAAAAAAAGTAAATGTAAGTTTTTCTCATCCAGAAAAAACAGTAAATTCAGATTTAGATTTAATGTCAGTTCCTTCACGTTTCCAACATACAAGCAAACAAAATCATGTTTCCTACCGTCCCACAATTAAACAACGTTTAAAAAGAAACATAAACAAAACTAAAACTAGAACTAGACATCAAGGAAGAGTTAGATGTAAGTTTAAATCTAAAGGAAGAACAGAGAACCAGTTAAAACCTGGAGACCCGGACCAGGCTGGAGGCCAGGGGGTCAGGCTGAGAACAGCATGTCCAGATATGCTCTCAGACTGGGAGGCAGGGAGGAGGGGGGCCAACCACCGGAGAGACAAAACATCATTAGCAACTTCTTCAAACCTGGACGGTCAGTGGAGACATAAACAGGGACAGGGAGTAAAGGCTCCTGGATTAAATTAGGGTTATATTGAGATAAAAACTGTTTTATAATAAAGTCTTCAAACAGCTGATGATTAACTTCACTGATGAAACAGTTTACAACCCTCTTTCTTTAAGCTTGTGTCCTCCCTGCTCTCCTCCTCAATAAACGTTAAGCTTTTATTAAAGGAATAAAAAAATAAAATGAGTAGGTTTTTCAACATGTTGATGATTCTGCATAAAATAAATACAAGTTCTGTTTATTTCAGATGAAATGATTTCAGGTGAACTGATGTTGAATCAAGCACCTTTTACCTCCAACCTGAGCAAATATTATCAGAAAACTTTCTCCTCCTGACCTTTGGAGGTTGAATCCCAGTGGGCGGGGCTTACTGCCACGTAACAGAGCCTTGCATCTAACCCAGATCAGACATTTGACTGGAGTCAGATCTATAGAAACATGTTTGTTTCCATTGTCCTCCTGTTGCTCTGTGTTTGGTTCCTCCTCCTCCAGCTCAAAGCTCGGAGGCCGAAGAATTTCCCTCCAGGACCCCCCACCCTGCCGGTGCTGGGGAACCTCCTGAACATGAACCTGGAGAACCCCCTGCAGGACTTTGAGAGGGTAAGAGAAATCCTGTCGTGTNGGATAAATATAATTGTAGTTTTCCCCCTCCTTTAATTAGAGAGTTTGCTCTTAATTGACTGATGGGGGGGGGAATAGTCTCCTTTACTTTTTTATTTTTATTTATTTTTAAAAAAATACTTTAAATATTGGACACATTTTTAGACATATGTAACTCAATTCAGATTCATTACATTTAATATTCATCCAAGGACATAGAAGAAAATCCCTGAGAAACCCTAGTATATACAACCAAAATGTTCAAACTGTCCCAAGAAGATGACTAACGTTCAGTGTTTTCCTCCTTATTTTGTCTCAAGTCACCAGAACTCACTAAACTAAACAACAAACAACACACAAATGTTAAAATATAGTTATAAAAATACAATGATTTAAATAAATTATTGAATTCTCGTTGCTCACTCCTGAAGATTCACCTCGTTAGATTTCACTTCCTGTTTTTTAATCAGCCATTTAATTTGATGTCCTCTCTCACTTTGATCAGAAAGCATCAAAGTTCAGAACCAGAACCATCACAGACCAGACCAGAGTCCAGTCCAGAGTCCAGTCCAGCACCATGTTTGTTTCCATTGTCCTCCTGTTGCTCTGTGTTTGGTTCCTCCTCCTCCAGCTCAAAGCTCGGAGGCCGAAGAATTTCCCTCCAGGACCCCCCACCCTGCCGGTGCTGGGGAACCTCCTGAACATGAACCTGGAGAACCCCCTGCAGGACTTTGAGAGGGTAAGAGAAATCCTGTCGTGTYGGATTTGACTCTTTGAATGTCTTGGATGGTGTTGGCAGAGAAACGAGGGTGAGCCCTGTAAGAACTGGTTTTAGACCTGCTGGAACTCTGAGATCCCTGTTCAGGACCACAGCTCCACTTWATGGGTCTGTACAGACAGTTAATTAGTCAAACTTCAGTTCCTGGTAAACATTAACCATGCAGACGTCTTCACTGAAATATCAACAGAAGATAGTGTTACAATCTTTACACTTCAGGTTAGTGATTTTACAAAGTCCAGATCCAACCTGGATCCTTCTCAGACTTCTACACACACACACACACACACACACACACACACACACACACACACACACACACACACACACTGTGTTTAATAGGTCAGTGATACATGATTGACTCAGTTCAACCCACGAGACTTCTGAGAAGAACTGAGCAGCTGATTGTGGAAATGAAATATGGAGTTTTTCTCCAAGACTTGTTAATAGGCAGCTAACATGCTATCTTGAGGCAAACAACTTACTATCTTCTGCACAGTCTGGCTTCCGTACTGGTCATGGATGTGTCACAGCAGTTTTAAAAGTTGTGGATGATATAACCTCTGCCCTGGACTCCTGACAGAATTGTGCAGCAATCGTTATTGATTTAGCAAAAGCTTTTGATTCAATCATTCCGTTTTGATTAAACGACTTGTGAACCTTGGGATAACCAACCAGTTTTTAATCTGGATTTCTAACTACCTGTCAGACAGAGTGCAGCAGGTGAATGTAGATTCTGAGTATTCTCCATTTATTCATGTTTCCAAAGGTGTGCCACAGGGTTCTATTCTTGTCCCCACTTTCTTTTCCATTTACATTAATGATGTTCCACAAGCTGACCATAAATGTGCTGTACACTTATATGCTGATGACACCATTTTTTATGCTACTGGTCCATCCCCTGAAACAGTATTCCAGTCTCTAAAACAAAGCTTCTTGGATATTCAGAATGCTTTTGCAAATTTGGATTTATCCTTGAATGCTAAGAAAACAAAAGTTCTATGGTTTAACTGTAAGAAAAACATAATTCCTCCCAACTTGGTCTTTACTACAACAGATGGAACAATCCTTGAGCAGGTCACAGAATACAAATACTTGGGAATCTGGTCAGACAGTTCTTTGTCCTTCTGTCACCATATTACTGCTGCAAACTCATGTCAAATCAAAACTTGGCTTCCTGTACAGAAACCGTTCATCTTTCACATCGTCAGCTAAAAAGGTCATTGTTGAAATGTGTATCCTTCCTTTGTTTGATTATGGTGACGTACAGGGAAGTCTTCAAAAATTGGATTCAACCAACCATTCTGCCATTTGATTTGTTACTAATGCTCCATATAAAACTCACCACTGTCTCTTGTACTTTCAAGTGAATTGGCTTTCCTTGCAGTCTCACCGTAATGCCCATTGGCTCTTGTTCATTTACAAAACCCTGCTAGGTCTTTCACCTCCCTATTTAAATCAATTACTACAACGAGAACCCCCCTCAAGGTACAATACTTGCTCCTCCCACCTTATTAGATTGAAAGTCCCAAAAACCAAGTCTTCCTTTGGCCTCATGTCTTTCCACTTTGCTGCAGCAAATGATTGGAATTTCTACCAAAATACACTGCATCTAGGCACTTTGATTTCTATTCCTGCTTTTAAACACAATGCACCATTCATTTATATGTTTTATGTACTTTTTATGTTGTTTCCCCTTCCCCATCTTCCCATTTTTAAGTGTTTTAAGTGTTTTTGCACACTCAGGCCAACATTGTAAATAAGAAACTGTTCTTAATGTTTTGCCTGTTGAAATAAAGGTTAAATAAAAAAATAATAAAAGTTTAACCTCAATAAAATGTCAGTATTACCGCTGATAGTTGTCCTGAACTCAGAATGGACTAAATGTTTTTGACTGAAGACCCATGTCTGAACTTCAGGACCACAGGAGACCAGGAGGACAAGCAGGACTCCTCTCAGATCATTTGAGTCACTTAAACTGGTTCTCTTCCAGCTCAGGAAGTCTTATGGAAACGTCTACAGTCTGTTCATCGGTCCCAAACCAGCCGTGATCATCAACGGGCTGAAGGCCATGAAGGAGGCCATGGTGGTCAAGGCCACGGACTTCGCTGGACGACCTCAGGACCTGTTTCTTAATGACGTCACCGAGAGGAAAGGTAGACCTGAGTCTGCACTCCTTTAAAGAAAACTGAGCTGCTTAAAGAGTCTGTCACATCAAATTTTTGTAAAAATATAAAATAAATAACATTACGTTACACTGTGATTCTTGTAGGTTTCGATATCAGTGGATAGAGATTTAAACTATACATGGATTTTATAAATGTAACAATATTATTTGAATCTGTTTTATTTCCCAGGTCAATATTAAAATCTCCACACAAAAAAACTGTTTTGTTAGAACTCCCTTCAAGGAGCTTCATGAGTTCATCGGTAAATATTTCATTATTAGATTCAGGTGATCAATAGACACAACTTATTATGTTTTTAGAATTCTTATTTGTTATTTCAATTGATATTATTTCCATATTGTCCGTAATCAGTGACATTTTATCAATTTCTTTACATTTTATTTCATTGGTAATAAATAGAGCAACTCCATCGCCCCTTTTATTGATCCTGTTCTTGTAATAGAATTCATATCCCTCAATGTGAATGTTATCTAAATGAACATCATTTAGCCATGTCTCTGAAAGTGCTATTATAGTAAAAGTTCTGTTTAACTGTTTTAAATAGTCTGTTATTTTAAATAAATTAGCATTTATACTTCTACAGTTGAAGTGAACAACAGAAAGACCTTCATTTGCCACACTGATATTATTAAATTGCTCTTAATTATAATATTCAGAGTCTGCAATTACAGGAAAGAATTTGGATTTAGCTAGATTGTATATTTTAATTTCTGAGTCTTTATATATATATTCATATTTTAGTTTGTATCCATTTGTATTGTTAATTCATTTTTACCAAGTAGTTTCACCTGTTTAACTAAGTTTGTTGTTTGTCCCATCTTTATCTTAATCCTTCTAACTCTCTAAGTTCCTGTATTATTTTAGCCTGTGATCCTTCCTTTATTTTGATCCAAATGTTTCCATTTCGTGTCCACGTTGCAGCTATTTTTTTCTGTTTTTTGAGTAACCTTGCCTCCCGTGCGATGTTTCCATTTTTTTTAGTTAGATGTTAATTTATGTAAACGTTAGTTCCCTTCAGTTTTCTTGCTTGCATTATTACAATATTTCTTGATTTTCGACTGATGAACTTGATTACAATGGGTGGTTTAAACTTATCTGATTTAGAAGGCAAGATGTGACAAATGGAAATATCCTCATGTTTGATATCAATGTTTTTGTTTTGTAAAAATGTCACAACCTATTTCTCCAGAGTCAGCAGTTCTTCTTGTGGAGAGTCTTCTGTGATGTTTACTTTAGCGGCTACTCTTGCATAGGTCCGGTGTTTAACATCAAGTCACGTAACAGAACTTTCAGCAGCTTCACTTCCTCGAGCAAACCAATCAGAAGTTCCTGCTGCGATGCTAACCTTGTCAGTTTTACACTCATAAAGTTCAGCAACTTCTTAATTTCATCCATGCTGTCTGAGTTACTTTCCACCGACTAATCTTCCTTGCCTGCGTTTCGGCATGACCTTTTATATTTCAAATATATTCATGTGACAGGAACTTTAAGATGAATTAACTGATTAGACTAAATTTGGGTCCAGATCTGGACCATATTTGGCAACCCTTATTTTATAGTATATTTGTCRCAGAAGAAAATAACGGACTTATTTTTTTGTTTTCTCTTATTTCTCTTGATTTTCTTGACTAAAGATGCTAAACTTTCACAAACGGTACAATAACATCTGTTGTAATGAGTTCTTGCTGAGCTGTAACTCTTTTCTAGGGATGATTATGGCGGATTATGGTCAAAGGTGGAAGGAGCATCGCCGCTTCGCTCTGATGACTCTGAGGAACTTCGGTTTGGGGAAACGATCCATGGAGGACAGAATTCATGATGAGATTTGTTACACAGTGAAAACCCTGGAGCAAAATGTTGGTGGGTCAACAGAACCTGGTGCACGTCGTCCTGCCATCTTCATTTTAATCTGTTTCAAACCTTTTCCAGGTGAGCCTTTCAGTCCTCAGGTGATGTTTCATAACGCGGGCTCCAACATCATCTGCCAGGTTCTGTTTGGTACACGCTACGAGTACAAYGACCAGATGATCCAAGTCATCGTTCAGTGCTTCACCGAAAACGCCAGGTTGGCCAACGGACCATGGGCCATGGTGAGTCTGTGGGTCGAGGCGGGTACGAYGTGGGCTAAATGGTGTGCACGCTGTAGAACATGCTTTTAAAAGTCTCGATAAAAACAAATCCTGAGTTTCAAAAAGTGTTAAAATGATAAAAACAAAGAGGTATGTTGTGAAAGTTTTGCTGCCTCTTGGCTGGGAGTCCCTCAGAAAAAGAGGTTTTTAATCTCAGTGAGGCCTTCCTGGTTAAATAGATGTGTAAAAATAAAGAGGATGTCTTTAAACACTGAGGATTAGCAATGAAACTGAAAATTTGCCTTTTTTTTTCCAGAATTTCTCACAGCTTTATATTTTCAGATTGTTCAGTAAGATTTGGTCAAACTTCAGTTTTACAGAAACTGGTGACCTTTAGACCTTTTTGTGTAACATTCTGGTGGAAAATTGGATGAAAACAACTAAATGCTCCTAACAGTTAACACAGACTTTAAATGCATTTTATTTAAACGATTTTAATTAATAATTTATATTTTCTTTACAGCTTTATGACTCTCTTCCTCTAATCCGTAACCTGCCACTGCCRTTCAAAAAGGCCTTTACAAACGCAGAGGTAATGTAAAAAAGTCTCTTACATCCAAACTGATTATATTCTCTGTTTTCAGTTTCCCTCATCTATTTATTATATTTGATAAACTAGAAGTCTTTATTCTTTTCCTCAGAGAGTTAAAGTTGATCATTTGAATCATCACATATTCTGACAGAAAGTTGCGCCAAAGCTTTGGATCACGAGTGTCCACTGCATTTTATAAACTTATTTAAACATGCAGCCAACAGAAAACCTGTGAATTTATTCTTTTAAGTCAAACATGAAACTGTCTGGTCTGAATGTTGTTTTATTAAAATATAAAACTACCCTGTGTTTGCTCTAAGCTGTGTCATGCTCTCAAAAATACACAGAAAGAAAACAAAGGAAACCATGTAGCACCTACCAAGATGGCGGCCCTTTCTCATTAGCATAGAGCCATTCTAGTGCACAGTGGATCCACCAGAACCATCAGACCCAAAGATTGTTTGTTTCTCACAACCTGAATTATAGAAATGTACATTAATTGTAAACACAAAGTGGAAAAAACAATTAAAACCATTTTGTTCTAAATTTAGACTTGTCGGAACATTRTCACTCGTTTGGTGGAAGAGTTCAAGAAGACCAGAGTTCCCGGAGAGCCTCGACACTTTGTGGACTGTTATCTGGACGAACTGGAAGAACTGGARAAGGTGGGTGAAGGAAACAGTAATGAAATAATGTTTATCAAATAAAACATTGAGTGATTAATATTTATCAGAATCAGTTAAAAMGTTGATATTGTTTAAATTAGAGACAGTTTCACTGATTAAACAACTAAAAATAGCAAAAKGCTAGATACGTAAGCATTACAACAAGCTAGATAAAAGCTAAAAGTTGCCAAATAGTAGTTTAAAACTGAAATTACTTAAAGGCTCTGGTCAGTAGTTAAATGTAGCAAAAGCCTAACTAAATGCTAACTATAACAAAACAGTAGCTATATTTATCAAGAATATCCAAAAGCTACAAGTACCAAAAGTATTTGGACCAATAAATAAATGTAGCAAAAGGATGGCTAAAAAACTAACTATAACAAAAGATAGGATTTGTTAAAAGCTAAAAGTAGCAAAAGATTAGTTAATAGCAAAATGGTCAAAAGCTAAAAATAGGAGATGAGTGCTAAAAAATTTCCAAACAACATGAAAATAGCCAAGGTAATTCCTATTTACAAAAATGGTGAGAAATGTATTTTCAATAATTACAGACCCATATCCTTGTTGCCACAGTTCTCTTGGAGAAATTATTTGTGATCAGATTAGATCAATTTATTGATAAAAATAAGATTTTAAGTAAAAGCCAATATGGATTTAGAGTCAATAACTCTACTTCAATGGCTCTTATGGAACTGATAGACCAAATAACAAATGCTATCGATCAAAAACAATATTGCACCAGTATTTATGTTGATTTGAAGAAAGTATTCGACACGATTGATCACAGCATTCTACTTAAAAAACTAAATAAATATGGGATTAGAGGACCAGCATTACAATGGATATCTAGTTATTTGGAAAATAGGAAACAGTTTGTACAAGTACATGATGTAAGATCTGAACTCTGTGGAATCACATGTGGAGTTCCTCAGGGTTCTATACTTGGACCAAAGTTGTTTTTCTTGTATGTGAATGACTTGGTTAATGTGTCAGGGCTCTTTAAATGTGTTTTATTTGCAGATGATACTACTTCTTTTTGTTTGGGAAAAAACATAGAATGAATGATGATAGAAAACTTAGACTGAAGATGATACAGATAGAATTTGTGAAAATACAAAATTGGTTTAAACTTAACAAATTATCATTAAATCTGGATAAAACTAATTATATGATATTTACAAATAAGAACTGTTAATTCAATTTAGAGTTGGTGATGTAGAGATTAATGTCAGTGAGGTGAAGTTTTTGGATGTTATTATTGATGAGAAACTGTCACGGAAACCTCAAATAAGTTATTTAAAAATTGAATTATGATTAATTGAATTAACTAAAACAAGAATAATCTGGAAGAAGATGCTAAAAATACTAGATTAATGTATATGTTCAAGAAAATTATAAAAGTGGGGCTTTTGAGGAAATATGAAACAGTATAATAT